AGTGAGCCACGGGCCGGCCCTCCTTTGAATTTTCTTAATAGAATATTATGGTTTTATTCATGTAGGTACTATAGATTCTTAAATTTATTCTTAGATATTTCCCCCCCATTTTCTTGCTAATATAGATGAATTCTTTTTCCCCCATTAAGTCTTCTACTAGTTACTGTTTGTACTAAAAAGTAGGTTTTTGCATATTAACTTTGTAAGCAGCTTCCTTGTTGAATCCTCCTATAGTTTTTGAAAATTTCTTTTTGGTTGATTTTCCTATTTTAGCCAGGTATAAATATAGTAGTATATCAGTTCTCAATAATAATAAAATTATTCCTTACTTTCATCTATTTTCATCTTGTATTTCTTTCTATTGTGTAATTCAGTGGTTGGTATTTCCAGAACAGTGTTAAATTGTAATGGGTTTGATCTATTTATTCACCTTCAGGCACGATACATACTTTTCATTAGAAACATACATTTAATTTTGTTAAAAAAACATACCCATTTCTATTTTATTAGAAATGATTTAAAACTCAGAAATTGATATTTAATTTTTTCAAATAACTGGGTGATCTAATGAGGTGATCATTTTTTTCTCTCTTGATGCCCTTCGAATGTCTAATAACATTCATCTGTGAAGTTATCTGAGCCTGGGATGTATTACAGTGGTAATTCTTTGACAATTTCTCAATTTCTTTGATTATTGGTGTTTTTAGGTTGTCTGTATCTTTAATGGTTAACTGGGTCATTTATTTTTCCTTAGAATAGATTTTTTTCCCCCAGGTTTTTCAAAGTTATTTCTGGGTGTGGAACAAACATATTGTTCTAAATTTTCTAATTTTCTTGGCAACAGTTGGTTGTATCAGATTAGGTTTTGGTGGTGCTTCTGGACTGAGCCCCTGGGGGATAAGGATGAAGGACAGGATGAGCAGGGATTGCCCAACTCCCTTCCCTGCATTCTGCACCCGTCCGCCATGCACTGCTTCTACCAAAGCAGATGTACTTTATATTTGGAGTTTTAGCTTAAAGATTTCATTGGGGATTTGGTTACTAGAATAAAAGCCTAAAAAACCAGCAACCCACAACTGTGATTTTAAATGAATACATTTGCATGTATGATTAATATGATAATAATTATGTCCCCCTTCCCTTCTCCCAAAAGAGGGTGGGAGTGGAGGGAGCCATTGCTCCTAGAGAAAACAATGATGTAATTTCTGACTCAACAATTACATTATAATAATGTAGTTTTAATATAAAAGGATATTGCTGCCATTAGTCAAGGACAAGAAAGAAAGTAGGGGACAGCCTGTCAAGGGTGGCCCAAAACTGTCTCTCTATACCAGGCAGATCTCAGCTGCCCTGGGGAAATAGAGTTAGTTTAGCATCTCATTATTATTCACAGGGTATTTTCATAGATATCACATTTTTTCCATAGCTGGAATAGATGATGCTGTAGTCGCAGTTTAGCACCTGTTGTTGGGGAGATCTTGGGTGATTTTGGCACAGGTGGAAGTACTGGGGCTGTTTAGTCTGAAGGGGAAAAGACTCGGGGAACTGGGAGGACTATCTTTATATATCAGAAAGAAAGAGATTAGGTGCATTTCATGTAGAGGCACAAACCTGAATTAGAAGAGGAAGATAGACGCTACTGGAGATTATGTGTATGTTAGCACAGTTCAATGAATAATTTGCCAGTAGGGCTGAATGAAACAGAAAGAACCCGGACATTTTCAACTTTCCGTCACTGGAGGTGTGCAAGCACGTGCTGGGAGACGGGGGTCAGGGATATTGGAGAGGAACTCCATGCATTATGTAGTTGGGGTGAACAAGAAGCTTCTGGAGCCTCAGGTAACACGCATGTCTCCGCAAATGTCTGAAGTTGGCTTGAATGGCCGCTAGATGTCGCTGTATATTTTCAGTATCAAGACCGTTTCTGTACTGCAAGTAGAAATCGGGAATTTAACAGACTAACACAAGAACGTGAAATTTTACTAACAAAATATGCATCCTTATCTTATGCAATTAATTCCTAACAAATAAAAGAAAACATAAATATTATTCAAAGCAAAATTTTAAAGATCTATTCTGAAAATCAGATTCATTTCTAAATTTTGTTTATAAACATGTCTTCTGATATTCTCAGAATTTGATAGAACTTGCTATAAAGCTGCTTCTATCCATCCACAGCCATCTCCGAACCTCTCGTCTGTCTCTGTGTGTTGTTCTCTTTTACATGTAGCACTGTGCAGCATGCATCATAGTACTACTAGTAATAGCTTACATGTTTATTGTGCTTATGATGTACAAAGCACTTACTTATGGTATCTTACATAACCCATGTAAAATCAAATGGTTAGGTTTTAACATATGAAGAAATAGGCTGAGAGAAATTAAGCAATCTGGCCAAGGTCATAGGTAAGAAAATGCTTCCCAATTTTTATTGTGGTGAACTATGGAGGCTCAGGAAATGCTACAGACTTTATGCACTTTTGGACCTTCACAATAGACCTTAGCATAATAAAGGCTTTGAGAATTTCTGGGATAAAGAACTGTCAAAGTATAGCCAAAAGGTTTTTGAACATATTTAGCCACTTTTCCTTCCTTCCTTCCTTCCT